ATATTTAGGAATAAATATCATTATTATCCTCATGCTCTTTTTCTACAGAGGGCAGGTGGGGGCGGTGCAGAAAGCAAAGTACATATTTTATCATTATCTTTCCGTTGGGTTCCTAGTGGAACACAGCGATTTAGTAGTGTGTCTCTATTGCGCCCTCTTCTCCGCAGTCTTTTCAACCTGGCTCCACCACTACCCACAAGCTTTGATTTCTTCCCCACAAGGTCTCCCCCATGTCACCGTCGGACGCCCAACTCGTCGTCTCCCCTCCGGATTCCACCCGACGGCCTGGCCCGACACGTGATGTCTCCAGTCGGCCTTCGCAGTGTATGTCTAATCCATCTCCACTCCCTCCTGCACATTTGTTCAGCGGTAGTTTCTTGGTTGGTTCGTTCCAAGACTTCCTTGTTGCTTATTCTTTCTGCCCATCTGACCATCAGTATCGAGCGTGGGTAGTTGTTCATGAATGTTGGAAATGCTTTTCGTGACTCACCACTAAGTCTCTCAGCCATCGCATAGAAGCACTGATTCACTTGACTGAGTTAGTGTTGAAAATCCGGATGCTGTTCATGCTTTATGCTGAGTGCAGCAGATCTCCACAATGATTTCAAATTAATGGAGGCCTGTGTTGCTTTTCTGATCCTGGTTTTGACATCCTCGCCTGTGCCACCGCCTGTAGTTGAAACGATGCTGTCCTGTCTAGGTAGGTGAAAGAGACTACTTCCTTTAGGTTTCTCCCGTTTACGATGGTTGGCGCTCGTTGTTCATGCTGTTGCCGGTAGTATATCTTCATCACCTCCATCTTCTCTACATTCACTCGAAGTCCCGTTTTTGCTGCCTCACCTCTCCTGTCAATTCGTTATTTTTCGCTGGCAGGTCTTCAGGTTTGTGCCACATTAGACAGGCATAAATCATGGGCGAAACCCAAATCTTCTGGGCTCTTTTCATCGGTCCAGCCAGCGTATCCACGTCTTCTCGCCTCTCACGGTTTGCAGCCTGATCCACTCCACCACTATCAGGGAAGATCATTGGTGATGGCTGGCAGCCCTGTGTTACTCTTGTCTCCATTTAAAAAGTGTCACTGAGCTTTCCATTGTGATCAGCTTGGCATGCGGCCTCTTCATATAGCTGTTGGATGAGGTTGATGACGGTTTCTGGCACCAAAAGCGTAATGTTTAAGCAGCTGCCTGCCAACTTACTTCTCGGTCGACGCTGTCAAAGGCCTTCTCAAAGTCGATGAAGTTGAGGTAGAGGGTTGGCCGCCATTCTATACTCTGCTCAATGATAATGCCCGGCGTAGCATTGCAATTTGATCCGCACGTGATTTGTTGTTCCCGAAGCCAACCTATTATAGTCGTCAGTTTGAATCCAGCGCATCTTTCGGTCTCTCCAGGATGATGCGGCATAATGTTTTGCTTGCATTGGGTGGACGGGAGCGTGATTCCACACCGGTTCTTGCTAAGGCTTAAATATCTCTTCTTTGGAAGTTTGATAAGGTACCTTCCCTTCCTCAGAAACCTTTTGCAGTAGTGGTGTGAGCATGTCCGCTGTTGTCTCTGAGTCTATTTTCGGTGTTTCTGGTGGAATTCCATCTGGTCCTGCTGCTTTCCCGAATTTCAGCAGTTTTATGGCACTCATGACTTCTCTTGTAGGAGGGCCTGTGTTCACTACATATTAACAATAATAAATTGTTCTTGTGAATCTGAACACACACTGGATAACAGGTGTGATTGTATAGTTGTATCATCTTGGTTTCGATGCTGATACAGCAATAAGGACTTGAAATAATTACCTAAACGCACAAACGGAAGGGAGGTTGCTAAAGTGCTGACAAAATACCAGGTTTGGGGGGCTAAAAGGCTTAACACAGCATAAATCCCATCACTGAAGTATTTCAGTGAAATCTGGAAAAGGCAAAGCCATAAACCACAAGTATGGCATTCACTGTTATGGTAACTGCAACGGAAAATAGCAGGGAAATCCCTTCTTCATGAAAGTTTTATTTCCACTTACCGTTCTACTTTTTGTTTGTACACTGGAACATGTCCTCATATCCTTGTTTTTCATATTGTCTTTGTTACTCAAAGTCACCTGAGTGCTTATATCAGTTTCTTAGTTTTCGGTAAACTATGGTTGCATTCATTCTTGTAATCTAGTTATTCACTGTAACTTGGTACGTTTAAAGTTCTACTTTACATCCACTTTGTTTTACTCCACTTATGGTCGGTTAGGTGGCAATTATGGTTTGGTTTTGATCACGCTGCCCGCTTGTGGCATTACTGTTGTTTCATCTGGCTCCTGGGGACAGAGAGTTGGGTTTCTTTTGTTGGAGATACCTTCAATTTGTCGTGAGCACGCGATATTCATCGCCAGCCAACCCATTTTGTTGTAAAGGTTATTATATTGTATTAACTAATTTATCATTATCTACAGTGTCAGGGAAGCATTGCTGGGGAGAACCTTTGTCATGTGCAGTGATCAGATAGATATGATGAAATCAGGTGTGTTTTATTGTCCTTGAAAAATATCCTTTTGGTCGGCTCGAAAATTGTCCTGGAACACACTCTCCGTTTCGTACGGGATTATCCAATTATGGTAGTTACAGTCAGGGTAGCTGGAAGTTTGAGAGGGTACTGTAAATTCTTTCAATGCACCTTAAATATGCTGAGAATATGCTGTCAGTAATGACCAAAGTTTACGGGCGACCGTTTTGACCTAATGAGAGTAGAGTTTGATTGATCAATTCATAGTTGTACACTGTACGAGGGATAGAGATGGCTCGTATTCCAAACAAGGATGTAGGTGCCGCTCTCTGCTACCTCAAGATTAGTGTAGGATTCGGCTCCCAGTGTGAAGACGACTGGATCATAGCCCCTCCGGCTCAGTTGCCAGAAGATTATACATTAGATATGCAGACAAGCACCCAGTGGCTAGTTTTCCTAACTGGGGCAGATGTGGAAAGAAGAGAACCAGTTTCCATCCCCCCAATGTGAAACCGAAGATACTTTGTTACCTGTCAACACAGAAACCTGGTGACATTTTCATCGTATTTTCGGCGGCTTTCCCCGGTTAGACGAGAAAACTGCTATCCCTTCTTGGAACAAAAAACAAAGTAACACCAGAAAAAACTCAAGCACAGTCCCATGAATATTACAAGCGGTTTATGAAAACAGAGATTCACGGTGACTGCTATATATATTCTGCTGAGTACGGATGATCAGGAAGGTCTGCGATAAAGGTATCGTAAGAGAAAATATCCGCCAACCTACCATTTCACTTACTCAAAATATTTCCCAGCATCCCACTTAGGTGATATGTGTGCAGTTTCAGTTTTGAGAAATTGATCCTATGGGGGCTTGTCAGTTGCAGCGGTCAGTTACTAATTGTTCAGCCTTGCAGTACACCCGCCGTTGCGAGTCTAATCCAAGAGAGAACACAATAGAGTAGGCATGCACAAAGGTGCAGTTGGTAGACCACACCCAAATACATATGTGTTCCAGCCAGCTGGCCGGAGGATCTCCTGTGAGCAACGCAACGCAGCGCGACAACCTGCCAAATGGTGCGGATGCTTGACTACTGGCTTTCAGACTTCAGATTCAGATTTGTTGTTTGAAGATAGGAAGCCAGGAGCCTATATCAATCCCTTTCCACTAGATTTCTGTACTTTCCAATCCCCTTTCGGACGAGCCAGTATATGATGCGGACAACACTTCTTCTGGGAGTCGGTTCCGGGCTTTGATTACTCCTCTCGAGAACCAATACTCTGCGGAGGCTATGTTCATTCTTTGCTTTTGTAGCCTCCTACTTTGTTCTCTGAGGTGTTCCGACCTAGTTGGAAAGAAAAGAGAAGATAGATCAGGTCCGAAGTCATTTCTTAGAATCCTGTACAACATGATTGGGTCTCCCCTCTATCTGTGATGGGATAAAGTGAAGAGGTTCAGCTCATTGAGTCGATCTTCATAGGTGAAGCCAGCCGTCTCAGGGATCATACAGGCGGCTGCCTCCTGAACTCTTCTAGACGGTCTGCGTCACCTTTCAGGTGATGATTAGCCTCCTGTATACAGTTTTGTGATTTAGGCCTAACTAAGGATGTGCATATGTTGGTGCACACGTCACCACTTATTTTCGTAAACGTTCCAAGTAATGCCTAGAGAGTCTCAAAACTCCAAGCTGCCATCAATCAACAATAAGGCGTGGTTTTGACGTCAAAACTCATGGTGACTCCTAGGTCACTGCGGGTCAGAACTGACAGTAGATGAGTCCCATCAATATCGTAGGTGTAGCTCACACGTTGACATGCACAGATGGGCATCAACCACTTTTCTGACCAGGTAAACAAGCTGTTCAGGTCTGCCTGAAGCGCACGTATATCCTCGTCGTTCCTAATTCCCCTCAAGATTTTTACATCATCAACATAGAGAAACATAGAGGATTTGGTGATATTTGGGAGCTCATTCGAATATAAGGGGAACAGCCGGGTACCCAGGACTGTGCTTTGCGGCAGTCCACTCTCCCGACTTCCAGGTGGAGAGTTGAGGATTGGTCCTTACTCTTTGTCTTCTACCAGCAAGAAAGTTTCTTATCCATGGAAGGAGACTGCCAGTTTAGCAAGCCCGTCAAAACTATGCAGATCATCATCGGTGTTGAATCTCGCTGAACCCTAAGCTATTAATTTTTCAGGATTATTTACCGTTACACACGTTAAACGTCTCAGACTTCATATCATGCGCCTCTGTACTCCCCACGGACTGCTAAGTTTCAAGACTCTTTATCTAAAGATTTGTTTCAGAGTTATTCATTATATTGCACTGGACACCAACTTTCTTCCTACTTACGATGCGAGTATCAGTTAAATACAAATGAATTTCTATTTTTTCTTTCTGCAGGCTTTTCTTTTTTATTTGTGTTTTGCGCAAACTGGAAACAAGAGAAACTTGTTTTGCTTTTAGATACGTAAGCTAGATTAGTGAAAGCTTCTAGTCTGTTGTAAATGATTTGCATTCAATCGAAACTAGAACATGCATTTGAGGGAACTTCGTTTTTCAAGGACGTGCTAGTGACGCAATTTTACTGAACTCTTCGGACTTTCTTCGTATCTCCATGCTGGCAGACGTAGTGAACAGTGTATCGACATAGACTTCTAGAAATATTTTTGGTTCCTTCAAATTGCAGAGACGTCAAAACCCGGTTCCTCCTAACTCAGAGGATATCTCTGATTTTGGGAATTATACACGCAGCATAGCTGAAAGTTCGCAGTCGTCTGGCGCTGCCCCTTCGTTATGCGAGTCAGGATGCTTCTGTGGTGGCGATGATGGGCAGCGTTTTATGAGAAGGTGGCCCTCCACTCCCCAACCAGGCACTCATGTATGGATACGCTATGGTGGAACTGTATGCTACGGTCAGGTGGTCCATTGTATGCCTGAACTGAATATGTTCACTGTGCGTCCAGCTGATGGCAGTTCCAGTCTTGTCACCCGTGGTCTTGAGGATATCTTGCCTTCTACACCACAACAGTCAATACTAACTCCTCCGACAGAGGATGAATGGGACAGTGACATGGTTGTATGTGATGAAAGTAGAGAGAATCCGCATGATATCGGTAGTTTTACAACGCAGTGTGAAACCTCTATTTCGGATTCGTTTTCGTACCCACTGTTTATTGACGTGCTCTCCAGGTGAGTGTCATATTTGTAATGTTTCTATTTTGTATCAGTTGTAGTTTATCACAAGCAGTGATCGCGCTTTATTCTTATGTAAATCCTGCATACCTCGACAGCCTGAAAAGCCGTTTTCTGCACAATCTAAAGTTGATACCTTGCTACATTCTGTACACTTTCTATGTGATTTTGCGGTTAACCTCACTAGTCTTGCGCAGAAATTTCGTTTCCTAAGGTTACCCCGATGTGAATGTAACTACTATTAACCACTTGTCTATCCTACAACTATGTGTAACCATTTTATACTGTTCATCATAGATCTGTCCCGCTTTCAATCTGCTTTTGTACTACCTTTTCATGAGCTTCGTAATGGGACCATAACTAACATTTGTTCTTAGCTGATAAAGTATAACCTTTAAGATACGCTTTGGTTCCAATCTCAAGTGTCAGTTTTTTCTAATCTTCAGTCATAGCGTACCTCCGATCTCATTTTTGTTCGACTACTTTATGCATACTACTGCAGCATTATGGTGGATTATAATTCATTTTTTTGATATCGTGTCTAAGCAGTGTTGTCTTGATTGTCTCTAAAGCCATTTGTTACAGACACACCAAGTTTCGGCATATATAAATCTGCACGTTTCCCCCCATTTAGTAGTGTCCTCTTTTAGCGTCCCAGTCTTCCTCACAATGTTGTGCCTTATGGAAACTTACAGCAGTGTGAATTTTTGCACCCAAAGTTTATGTGTCCACTGTGCTGTTTACAGTGTGGGATAGTTCCATGTAGTCGACCGTTTTTGGATTTAAGCTGGTTTTGCTTGTATGCTAAAAACATTCTTTTCTCAAACAATTTTTACCCAGCCCATAAAACCATTATGTTTATTGCAGATTTCAGATTTTTCCAATGCTGCTTTGTACACTTGTACTATGATTTGGGCTCGATCCCTGCACTTACTGCCGCTAAAATATCTTTTTTTTCAGGGGATCTATTGATGAAGGAGCTTCGTACGAGCCAATGACTACGTTGTCCGGTTTGCCATCAAATTCTACGCCATCATTCAGTTTATCACCAATCTTGAGTTCTTCTGACGTAATTGACGTGAATATCCGTAAACCATCTGTAGAACGTTTTGGAATTTCGTCCCAGAAGACATATATAGATGACAGTCCTTATGTACATCCCTCCTTAACATTTGGTACTAGTTTACCTTCTCATAGGTTCATGGATCATTCATCTGTAGTTCCTCCAGTAACTCAGCGAATCAGTCCCACAAACAGTAATGTATATTTTCACAAACGCTGGGATGCATTTTCTTCACAACCTGAGTTATCTTCCAAAGAACTTAAGACAGTATGTGATGAGGCATCACCTCTGAACAACCAACAAATTAGTCCATCTCATACTGGGAATTTTCCAAGTCAGTCTTCAGTGAACTATATGGTTGATGCAGTTTTACACTGGGTTGAGTCTGTCTCTCCGAACGCTGTTTCCGATTGTAAGTCAGAACGTATATGTTTCTATAATCACTTTCCTAAAGAAACTTATCAAGATGTTTGGATTCATCCTACTTCACTTACTTCTCGACAAGATTTTGTCAGACCTTTTAGTCACCGAAAAATCCTGAAAGAGGTCTTTAAGTCAAATTATTTACCTTTCTTGATATCTGGTGATTATGTTGCCACTCAGTTTTAGATTGATTGGGGGTTCCATTGTCCCATTAGCCCTGGTTCAAGTTACCAATAAGGACTACAGAAAATTCTACGCAAATTTCGTTCTGGGTGCCACACCATAAACATAAAATAGATCATTAAAAAGAAACAAACGAATAGAGAATAACCGGAACTAAGGGAAGTCTAGCACTCAAGGAAGAATGTTAAGTTGACTTCATATCACGTTACCTAACGCTTATGATCTGTCAAAGTATCTTTCGAGGCCCGTAATCTAGAGGCAAATAACTCCTTTCCTAACTCAATGTCATTGGCGATTCATTTAAATGCATGTTTGTTTTGTGTTGCTTGGAAACCTGTTCTTCAACATTGAAACACGTAAAGTCGTAGTAATTAGTATTGTGAAGTTGTAGTCCATTGGCCTAAACATTCTGCCTTTTGGCAATACGTCCTACGTTGGAATTTCACTCCACCCACTTCCCTTTAGACAGCTAGTTAATATCAAAAACCTCCCTACAATAAATTTGGTTGTGTAGTAAATAAGTCTGTACCTGTTGAGCTGTATAGGTGGAAGTGGTAACAGTTCATTTAAACATTTGGTAAACGTCAAACGAAATGCAAACGGTGATATCCAACTAAATGAGTAGTTTACATGTCATTAAGTAATAAGACATCGTTCATGCACTCAACATTAATGATTATTTGCCTTGTTAGTGGGTCTACAGCATCATTTGGTTCATCCGTCTAAAGAATGTTGCTGATGGTATAGTTGATGAGTTGCAAATTCAAACAAAGCTGTTAAGTGCAACTGTTAGCAAAAGTAAAGGTAAGTATCTGTGCTGGAGATGTTAATAAATATCTCTTCAACACTGCTCCTTAAGAGTCGTTTCCAGACCACAGTTTCAGTAAAACAAAGTCAATTCCAACATCAAGAAAAAAGCAACAGTCATTAACCTGCAATACGTGTGATATACAGTCATCTGTTAAGATGTGGAGAAATTAAGCACTATATTACATAGTCTTTTTTAAAATTTAACAATGGTGGTCTTATTCTGAAGTAATAAAACGCTCACTTTGCCTTATTTTAAACTATCTGATTAACTAGGTAACAAAAGTATCATCTTTATCCTCGAACTGGCTCGTAGAAAGGTCATCAGAGCCAAATGTCTAATTGCATTTTACTTTTTGTAATTCCCTCTAGATACAGAAATAAAACGTGAATAAAAATAATACTCTGCGATAAAGAACGGAAACGTGGGTAAGGAATAATTAAATGAAAAACAGTGAAAGCATCCAAAATTTTGAGGATGTTAATTAGTGAATACACTTTCTGACCGATAGCTGCTACACTGGTGTGGTGATCGGGCTTGTAAATCACAATGACTCAGCTAGCTATACCGGGGGAACACGTTTTTCCTTGAGGTCCTATCGTATCAGAAAAATTTATTGGGTAGTGGTTAGATAAAAAGCAGTTACCACTGCAGTGTAAATTGCTACCCTATATTGGGGTTTTTAGGGCGAAGTCGTACTGCTGGCCGGATGAGTGTGACAGCAGTTAGGTGTGTTTTCTTTGGTCGACAAGCGGTACCATGCTGATACTTTCCTCCCTGTGGAAAGGAGTGGGATAGAATGAGTCCTCTAGAATAGCACACTCCCATACCCTACAGCACGCCGATGTCGGTGATATGACTTCATGGTCGGATTCAAAAGCAAAAACCAAAATCTCAAACTTGCAAGAATGCAGTGTATCACCGACCTCCAACGTATTTTCCTTACGCATTAACCTTTCTTTTTCATGTGCCTCCAGAAGACCTAGTCTTCTACGATGTGGGCAGCTGAAAAGTATCCACCACCCTTCCAACCCTGTCATCTCCCAAGCTTCCTATGATCACTGTCCACCTCTCACATCCTTACCTTCTATTCATCCTTCACGTCTCAGTCTATTATACCACTTTATCTTTAGCTTCTCCCAAATCTGTGGCTCACGACAACGATCTGAGTTCATCGGACAGAACCCTTAGTCTTTTAAAATTGACACCAAATTACACTTTGAAGCTTTTAATGTCCCAACCCTTCGTCAGGACGACCAACAAGCTTCGCTAGCCATAACTGTAGCAAATTATCCTACAAATGTGTGTTGTGTTTGTGAGACACTCCAAGTACAGTTAGACACTTGACCTCAACCGCCCATTTACTGAATCCGAAAACTCACTCCTCAAGTCTCTAGAGATTCAATGGCCAATTCTCGCGAACTTGCAGGTGTAGGTATAGCATTGAGTACTAAAACAGAAAGTTTTGTGCTCGACTGGGTTTCAGTTGACAGGTGTCTATGCGCTGTTCGACTGAATGGTAAAAAGGAATGATGAGACTTGCTGTTGTTTCCTTGTAACCTCTGTTTACGCACTCGCCGACTGCAGTGCAGATGAAGTGAAGGATGAGTTCTATCGAAAACTATCTAACCTCCTACTGAAGACCAAGCGCTCAGATATGGTAATTGTTACAGGTGATTTCAATGCACATGTGGGTAGGCTAAGTCAAACAAAAAGACACTTAGGTGGAACTTTCGGAATTCCAACCGGACAAACAGATAACAGTCATTACCTGCTACAACTTTGCTCAAATAACCAAGTATTTCTAGCTAGCACAAACTTCAGACATCCAACGTGGCATCCACCGAGCTCAACTCAGCGGTTGACACAGACCTGATTGCTAGCAGTCATCGCTGGGTAGGGTCGGTGGAAGACTACCGCTTCTTCTGGAGAGCATGTTTAGATAAAGACCATGCATTGGTTCGAGTGTATGTATGCCTATGTTTAAATTGACAGAAAAACACTGGTAACAAGATCATTGTGAGTGCAGCTCGAAAATAAAAGCACGAAGGCCGCCTTCAGGAAGTTACTGATTCTACACTTATCGGAACAGAACAATATCACTCATTCAGAAGAAGCTTGGGGCAATCTCCACGTTGCTCTAAAAACTAAGTTGAAAACTGTAACCGACTCACAGAGAGTAGGTATCAACAGCTTCTGAATTGACGGATGCACCTAAAGACGTCTCTGCAGGCTCCAAGTACAATGAGGAGCGAATGCAACTCAAGCGTAAAATTATAGAGAGTCCACGTAACTGCCGCAAACAGTGGTGGGCAATGAAGGTTCAGGAGGTGGAAAAGGCAGTAGTTATAAATTACAGTAAACATTTATTCAGATTTAATTATTGGAACGAGCGAAAGTGTCATTGGTTAGTGAAACTATAAACTAGAGGGATTGGTCTGCGATTCACTCGCAAGGGGGGGGGCGATTGGGAGGATGAATGGAACACTTTAAGGAGCCTTTCAGATGGCCTCCAGCTACTATTTTATTGCTCACTATCCAGCCTCAGCCTAAATGGAACATCGAGATGGGACCCTCAACACTTGCAGAAGTCAAGAAAGCTGTAGATAACCCGAAAAGAAGAAGCAGCAGGACCGGACGGACTGGTTTCATGGGTATTTAATGACAGTGGTCAAGGATTTTTAGTCAACTTAAGTGTTAGCTGGTTTGTGGGAGTCAGATACGAACCTCTCTAATTGATCTGAATCACTAATTGTCCCAGTATTCATAAAAGGTGAGTACTGTGGTAACCAAAGAGAAATCAGCCTAACTAACACGGTGTCTAAGGTTCTATGATCATTTGATATCTGAGTGGAGCTCGGGAACAGTAAGTTCGAGAAAAGCAGGCAGACTTTACATTTGGCCGTGGGTGCATCAACCAGATATTCACATCCTGTCAGGTTCTGGAACGCAGGCACGCCGACCAACTCCCCACACCAGCTGTATTTTTCTACCTGAAGCCGGCGTTGGACTCCATCGACCCAGAGGTCTTATGGCCACTACTCTCATTAAAAGAGGGTACCAAGCAAATACATCGCCTCATTGAAGGCTCTTTGTTCAAACACTTGTTGGTGGGTTAGAGCCTATGTTGAGATGTTGGGTGAGCTGTGTACGTCGGGTGGTGTCCGTCAAGGATGCCCACTCTCTCCATTCTTACTCAATTTTATCATAGATGTTCTTATGGACGTCTCCCTCTCATCGTCTGACATCACAGGGATTGATCTAATCAAAGAAGAATGCGTGGTGGATCTAGAATACACAGATGACGTAGTCTTGCTAGGTGAAGACGCTGACAGGATGCATAGTCTTTTGAACACCTCGGATGGCAATTCGAGAATGTTTGGGGTGGGTTTCTTGTCAGCCACATGTAAATAGTTGTTCCAGGACTGGTCTTCAGTGGCGCCCTGGCTAACAACAGAGGGAAGTGGTTGAGTGCGTTGACTGCTTTACTTACCTGAGAAGTTGGGTCAGCCGTGGTGCATCATTGGCCTAGGAAATCTGTGCACGGATACAAACGGCTCGATTGTCTTTCGCCAGCTTACGCCATCTGCGGTGCTGCCGCGATATCTAATTGTCTCTGAAGGGTCATGTGTACTGTTCTGCCGTATGGCTGTAAAACATGGTCGTTAAAGTTAGAGGATGTAAGAAAGTCTCTGGTGTTTGACCGCCCTTGCCTTCACAGCGTGGGCCGTGTGGCGTGGTATCACCACAGTAGCTCAGAGGTCAGGTGTAGAGTTTTAGAGAGGAGAGGAAAGTTAGTTGGTGCGGTTGTGGACCTTCATCGACTGAGATATCTGTGATATATATTGTGCATACCTAGTCAGCTTCTGCCTCATCGTGCAATGTTGGCTGAAGTAAGTGTAGGCTGGAAAAAGACTCCGCAGCCAAACTGAAACACGACATCACTGCATAAAGTCCTTAATTGTTGGTTTGAACCATATTGAGAGATGCAGACAAATCGGTTGGGGTCCATGTGACAGCACAAAAAAGTGGTTGGAGAGTAGATGATATGGCTCAGAATCAATATCAGTGACTCAGATGTATCCACGTTTTATCTTCATCTTAACCGCAATACTGAATTAGGCATTTTCCCATTCCTCCTTACTCTCTTTTGCTCCGACTACTGTTGAAGGATTTTCCCTTTATTGTTCATCTTACTACTTTGCTACTTATTGTGCTTATAAGAGATGTGGCAAATTGAACTGTTACGCAGTAATGCTTGGTCCTATGTCGATATTGATTGATTGATTGGATTCTTTTTTCCACCACTATCGATTTAGAGCCTTTGCACTAGATGTTGACAAACTTTGAATGCATTTTAGTCAGTGTAAATGACTTAGGTTTGTATATTCGGCGTTCAGTGCTTTTTCTTGATGTTCTACGTAAGTCTAAAAACAATATTCTCAACATCGGTACTGTCTAAAAGCTACGCACGAATTCACTTAAGACTTATAATTGAAACAGATTCAATCAGAACCTTATGCTTTTTAATCTTGTATGTCATACGTTTGCCGGTTTCCAAGCTATTTTTTCCACCATTTCAGCCAGCGCTGTAGATAAAATGGACGTGAGTGAACTCAAGGAAACTATGAAATCCTTTTTAACTTCAAATTCAGCTGAATGTGATTGTATTCGAAGTTGCCATGCAGACTCTCATCAACCCTCTACGCTCTTTCCATTTCCGGAACGAACTCATATGCCTGTCATTAGAACAAGCTCGGAGAGTAGTGAACCATCACCATCGAGTAATATTTGTAACTCCCCAAAACCAATTTCAGGTGTAGCAAATAGAGGATGCATCCCTTCACACCATGTTCAGCCGACTGAATTCCGAGGTTCCGATCCGCAACATCAAGAAAGATCACAGTACTCTTTTGGGAAACATACATCTAAGTGTCCAAGATACTTATCCAGTCTTGTTGAGCAAAACCCAGTGGAACTTTTGAAGGAAAAGATACCACTGAGTAGCATATGTGGTTGCAAGTCGTTTCAAGGAGAAACAACTATCACGAATGTGTCACGCCTGAATCCAATTTGTGAAAATTTACCCACCAATTCGCCCACTCCTCTTCATTGTGCAGATTCTATGAGTGATTCAGGTTATGTAAGTGTATCAGCTTTATTACTTTAAAAATGTCATATCAAAGTTTGTTTGCGGAATAATAGAAAAATATAAATTAAGCAGCGAAAGTAACGAAAAAGGAATGTGATGAATTTGCATTTCTGACTATCTATTCCATAAATAAGCACACTCTCGAGTGCTGAAACGTCATAAGCCAAGGTAACGAGTAATCAATGGGAAAAAAATGGTGAAAATATTTTGATGGTTTCGGTGAAAACGTGTGTCATGGTTGCCATGAGTACGAAGTCAGTCAGTCAACATCAACATAGGAGCTGGTATTACTGCGTAAGGGTCTGAGTTGCTATACGTCACATCAGTACATCAAATTAGAATGCACCAAGATGAAACATATACAATTAAAGTAATCCAGAGTGGTAGTAAGTGGTGAAAAGCGAAGAAGAGGTAAAACGAAGATGATATATAGGTGTACCTGTCTCACTGAGATCGATTCTAAGCCATACCTCAAGCCACTGGTTTCCGTTGTTACGCGAACTGCAACTCTAAAGTCTACATTTTACCCATATTGTTCAAACCAACAGTCAGAGATTTTGTGAACTGATGCTACTTTTTAATCTGACTACCTTTAACCTTTCCGTAGCCTCAAATTACTTCAGCGCCACGGGGCAAACAGTAACTGTCTGTGTGTAACATATATCTCAGCCACCTAAGTTGGTGAAGTTTCACAACCTCATCAACTGACTTACCTCTTACCTAAAACTCTACTCCTGGCTCTTACGTTTCTGTCGTGGTGACACCGTGACACGGCCTGTACTACGAAGGTGGTCAACAGACAGACAGATAAAGTCAATGCAGGACGTCACACAAGTACATCGGTTCAAGTCGCCACAATTCACAGTAGCGTACAAAAAGGAAGTAGGTGAAGAAAGACTGGTATCCAACTCGACCAATGTGTGTGGGGTCAGAAATAACTTGAAGATAGATATATGCTACTGAAAATATTCAATCTTTAGAAGATGTCAAAAAGCGGATACATCAGCGTCATCGTGACCAGCTTTCAGCCATGTGACCAAGACTCCTCAGATGTTGATTCTTATCGTGTCGGCGACCCCAGCCAGGCAATAAATATCTCATTACACAACTCAGACCGAGTCAGAGACTTCATGTACTGATTTGCTATCACGGTGGTTGACTATATTTAATGGTCACGTTTCACAGTCATATAGTAGGAAAAAGCAGTGAACTTGACCCTTGGCATACAATCAGATGTCATGGGTGGCGTTGATTGGTAAAAATTAATCAAGCCTTTTTGTCCATCAATGACATATCACGGCTAATTTGACTTCGTGATTATCAGGCGAAGTACCAGTACCAACCACTCCTGCAGAAACAGCTTACATTTGATTGGTGAGAAACGCAGCCAAAGCATTCTCAAGTTTTCACTCAAGGGGTCCAAAAGACTGTGTTTTCATCTTCACTTTACATCCCCATGTCATCCGGAAAGGGTAAAAAAATGCATATCTAAAATTAGTACATTAAAATTAAGTTTTTAGGGATAAGTTTATTTCCATCATATGACTAAGAACTTGATATCGGTGTGGTGATAATACACTGTATTCGTCCACCAGACGTTCTACAATTTAGGTTGCTACTGTCAACCTCAAGTTGTTAAACCACTTTAGTTTTGCATATTTCAAGCTAAAAATAATCGTATTTCTTTCACCGGTTCGTCGATGAGTATGCAGTTATCTCTCTTGCGCGAGAGGCGATTTGGATCAGTAGATGTTAACCGACTCCTTTATATCTTCGTGATTTTGTCAACAGCCAAAGTTCACTAGCATTCCTTGTTTGCTAAAGTGATTGAATCTGTGAAAAAGATTACCCTAATTTTTAGGGAAGCCGTTTGTAAACCAGTTTAGAAATGACTATGATTAGCTTACAAGTATCTGGATTTCGCATACATTTACATATCCTGCATCTATTTGTCAGCGAAGCCAAGACTGATGAAAGTTTCTCTAATTAAATTACAGATATTTTCAATATATGTCATCTAATTCAGGAAACTTGTGTAGGTTCGTAAAACTTGCGTAGTACACGCACGTTTATGTGACTTATTAACTAGATTTACTTAGAGTTCGATGTGATTATACATAATAGCATAATACTTAAAAGACGTATGACATTCCATTCCTTTTTTTCATTATTCATTACAGGCTGTTACGACGCCTGATTCTTCCACAATTCCTCTTGTTTACGCTCAACAAATTCTCCCATCATTAATTAATGAACGTGGGTCTTTAAGTTTCCAGTTATTGTCTTCCATATTAGCGCATAGCCGTATTGAATGTGATCAGGATAGTCAGCGAAGTATGTTGTTGGATGGATTAAAACAAGCTTTGGGTTCTGTTATGCTTTCATCAACTAATGTGCCTTCAGTAACATCAACTAGTATGGTTTATTATGGTGCTGACCCGGTGTATTCTAAAACTCATTCATCCATGCTGCATGAGGATAAATCGCAACTGACAACTGGATATATGGTTCCTGTACGCAGACACTTGTCGTGTGTCGGATCTACAGATAACTTAAGTCCTGGGTCACTTGTGGAGAGTCCGACACATAACTTATGTCTAGACTCACAGAGAGAAACTCGCAACCGATTCTCTCGTCCCTCGGAGTCGGACTCTTGTTTTTCTGAAAGTTGTATCAGCCCGAATCCTATAAATATTGACCACGTAAGTTACTGCTAAATATTTTTCTAACCATGATATTTTTAATCTGTTATCGTACTACATGGTACTTTTCATCTGTATATTCTGACAGTTGGACATCAACTATTGGTTTTTTTTATTAGAGATTCTTAAATTCTCATGAGTATATGGTATGATGAAAAATCACGTACTTGTAGGGTTTCTGCTGCAGTCATCAATATGGTACGTTTATTCGTAATTGTCTCCCAACTGGCTGATTTTGAGACATAGTTGAAAAATGTTTTCGTAAACATTCAACTGAAGTTCAAACCCCACTCCCTGTTTCTACCTGGATAGTAATAGAAACCTTTAGACAATAAGTGTGGTGCATAACCTAGTGGATAAGTCTGTACCAGGTTAGGTTGCACTGTTCATTATTATTTATCTGTTTCCATAAGTTAAGTGTTCTGCTACCAGCACCTTTTTTGTAACCAGTGTGAGGCAGTAAAAAGTTAGATGATTATTGATTGATTGACAGTTACTGATATGAAGACATCAACCTTATTTTATCGACGTGGCACTCTAACGACTTGACTTCAGGGGCTGATTGCTTACTGACTTGCCATCCCACTTCAATAACTGAGACTTCAGTCTAAACATCATATGAATGAGACACTGATATGTCTGGTTTTCATCACACTAAACATTTTGCTAAATGAATAATAAAATATGAATGCTAGTTTATTCCTCTAGCCTTTCCATAATATACTACTTTCCTGTACTAGGACCAGTTTGTGAAATTTCTTGGCTATAATATTTTCTTAGCCCTATATGGGGGATACGTTTTTTTATGCAATTGATTTGGTATGCCGCTACATTTTGTACTATTTCGCAAGTGTCTCAAAAGTATTGAGATGCTAGTGGGTCTTTAAACGCACTTCACTTTGTCCTCATTAATATTTCAGAAAGAAAGGTGAAGATTGATGATATTTATTGAATTGCATAATTTGTACTTTCATTTGTTCCACAAAGTGATATTTCTGACTGTAGGGATTGAATTAAAGAAGAATATCAAGACTGAAAGGAAGAATTAAGGGTTAGGCCTACCAAAATGTACCTCAATCTATAGCATTGAGTATAAGCAATTCGAGCAGAACCACATGTTTACTACTCGCCATTATGGTTCCCAAGGTGTAGACCATGAATAAAAGGTAGACTCCGTAAGATCTACTATGGAAAAACTGATCATTGTTTTACCCTCAAAAGATTCTTGGAATGTTAAATTTCCTTTTGTTTTTGTGTCATTTTGGTTACTCACCTTATAGATTTTGTGTAAATAAAAATTGATTCATAATTGTCGAGAGTAAACTGAATTAGGTGGCAGGTCTTAGTGAATCCATCCTATTCTCTCATTTTGAGTCTTGTTATTTCAGTATTGATAGTTACTTTGACAAAGGTTTTATGTAAGGTGTATGAAGCAGATACAGCGCTATGTAATTTAATCTAGCCCCCTGTTTTATAGGAAACTCACGAATATCCTCTTGATATCATCATAGTAATTTGGTTGACTATTCGGAAACTGTACTGCTTCGCTTTGATTTATCAATAATTTAATTTATATCGTATGATTCCAATTTTTAGGGGTTTGAAATCGCATGCACATGCACATAATCTTAGGTTCATAACCAGACTTTAATGTAAGAATATTTTTTGTCACATCATATACTTTGTTATCTGGTTTTCTATCTACAAGTAACATATTTCCGTACCATGTATATTGTAGAATAAAGAACCGCGAATGACATCCTCGTCGTATCCTGGTGGTGGGACAGATAGGTTTTACCAAGTATTTTTTCCTACTAGAAACCAGGAATACAAATCTGGGGATTTTCATTTGTTGGAAACATTATCCCCAGTTGAACAAGTGCATACTTCAGTGCATGAATCCAGTACAAAGACAGATGCTGAAGTTAACAGGACATCCAAACATCACTTTGCTTATAGTTCATTTTCTTCACAACCTAGGAAACTGGATTATAAAGATCCTGTTGTACCTTTACGTGTGGGACTACCGTCTCTGACCCCTACTGGACGTGCAGATGTTCGTAAATGTCGTAAGGTGTATGGAATTGAAAATAGGGACCAATGGTGTAATCAGTGCAAGTGGAAGAAAGCATGTCGACGTTTTCCAAATCCTTGTCCAACTTCGAGACATCCTCAAGGAGTAACTAATCGTAACTTCTCTATTGAAAAGGGTAATCGACAATCTCTTGATTCTAATGTATCTGAAACGTGTGTTACATGTTCGTCTGATCTAACTATACCTAATAAGGCTACTCCAAGTAGTTGGTCAGTTTCGAGTTTTTCTTCATGTGAAAAATCATCTAATTGCTTGACTGATTCTTATATGAACCAAACTGGCGAATGAAAAAAGATAATTAGTCCCTTAATCACACACATATGCAGTAAAATTCAGTTTTTTGAATGATTTATTGTTGTTCATTAGCTGTCTACTTTACAGTTATTGAAAACAAATAGGTTCTTCATCCAAAAAAATTGTCCCAGTTGTTTGTTCGGTTGCGAATTGATGGTTTTTACACTATCTCCAGTATTTTTATTCATTCTTTTTATACTACATATAGTCAGTCAATCAACCGGTACCGTCTTTTTATTTAAACAAACACGGTCATTCAGTATGTTGTTTCTTCTTTTTTCTCTCTTATCTACTTACCACTTATCATTTCTGCACAGTACACATCTACTTCACCCCTTCGTCATTACACGTCACTTCTCAGCAGTTAGACAGCATTCATATTCAATCATTCACATGTGTTGACACAAAGAAGCTTATTATTTATTCACAAAAATATTTTGGTAAGATTACTTTGCATTTCTATCGCATACTATTTCATGTTTTGCTATTCACTCTCATTGTTACTGACTCTTTGTAGTCAATGTCACTGGTAATCATCGTTTCTGCATTGAAATCGATTGTATTGACTTCATCGCTTATTTTCTGTTAACCACATATAATCATTTCATTGTTTGACTGTCGTTGTTTCTTCTTTCTTCACATTCCGTTTAAACTTGTCTTGTTTTCCTACTACTGGCGATGTGGTTCATAATGAAATAAGGACTATCTGTTAGGTCAGACCAAATTTGATGATCCGGTCAGTTACTTATAGTTGATTATTGGTTAACTTTCGTTTCCAGTATTATTTTATTCTGTTTGGTATTGTGTATTTCGCCTTATTAACTGAAGCCAAAGATGCCTTCTCGTTAACATTTATGCATATGTGTGTGTGTGTGTTCGTGCGTTTATCCTTCAAGTTTTATGAAGCATACCGGTTCACTCCTAGCTGCTGTATACTTCTTACTCTTTCTCATAATTGTTTTTTATTTTCAATCAAATAAATCATATTAATTCTGAGCAAAAATGTATTTTATATCTTGTTCAGTATTCTTCTTTTTGCTATCATCTGTTCATGTGTTGGGGAACGAGCATAATTTTGTTAACTTTTTGATAACTGAACACTAATGTCTATCGTCATACACAAATTTATTTGAAACCCTCCTCAAGTGTTTACTTTCTCATTTTTTCATGTGTTCATCTTTTTTCTCCACGTCTCCTCCACTCATCATACCATTGTCTTTCATTTCTTATAATAATAGTTAATAATGATAACAAAAAGAGATGAGAAAATCTTGGATTTTCATTCTTGATTTCTTTGTTTATACTATTCAGAGCATGAATTCTAGTTTTCTATCATATTTTGTCATTTGCTATGCATTTCATTCCTTCGTTGTCATTATATATATATATATATATATATATATATATATATATATATATATATATATATATATATATATATATATATATAATGTCTATGCTCCATGAATGAAAGAGCTTTATACTTCACATGTACTTATTATACTGCATTGCACTATTTACTACTGATCTCTTTCCACACAAGTCGGTGTCACATAAAAGTCATACTATTTTTACCTTGATTAGTGATAGGAAAAGGAGACAGGTAGTTAAAGAGAAAAAGGACAACAAAAAAGATTCTTCTGCACTATATTTATGAACTATCACAATTCTTTGTTAGGTTGGGTTTATCAAAACTATCTATGCTCGTTTTATACCGTGAAAGTCTTACTGAAGGGGATGTGAATTTGATAAGTGTGTTGAACTTTTGGGGTTGGGAAGTGCCCTAAATGATGTTTTCATATTGTAACGTATTGTCCTTCTATGGATAATGATTTTTGTTTGAAATACACGTTGGTTAGCTAGTCGTCTTCTTTTTTTATTTCTCGGTGTCTGTAAATTTTATGCTGATGATGAGCATGTTTCCTTACTGGAAATAAAAAGGACTTAAAGAGTCTGTGATAAGAGTATTCTCAGTCTTCCTTCTTCTACTTTTGCATGTTTCGTAACTTTGTTTTTCTCTACTATTTTTCTTTTGAATAACGTAAGTTACATTATGCTGTCATTTTCATTAACAAAATGTTTTGTTATAAGCACTAATTAACTTTTAAACATACCATAAACATTAACAAATAGACTGGTTTCTTGTAGACGTATACTGGTTGTTGGTGTTAAAGAAAATAAGGAGTTTGTTTTTGACTTCTCTCTTGTGTTTATTATTTCATGTTTGTTTTCAGAGAATAATACAATCGTAAAATGAAGTGACGTGAAAGTTTACCTAGGATTAAGGTGTCATTCGACCCATGAACTCTGAGAGGGACTTTCTAAACTAAAAGATCCAGCAGGTCCGGCAAAACAGCCTAATCTATCAAATACCATGTAGTGACTGTGGTGTTAATACATAGATCAAATTAGCCAATCGAGGTTCGTCAGGATAGCGGAGAATGATGGATCCTACTAAAATGAGTGATTCAGAGAAAAGCTCGTCTATCGTTCTCCATGATCTGACTCATAGTAGCACTAGGGCTACAGTTCTGAAACCCAATATAGCTAAGTCTAAGAAGAGATTACAAGATCTCTTCATAGGATCAGCTACTAGCGCATATAGCAGGAATGATTCATCAGATATAGTAGACATTTGAGAAACTTTACTACCATTAAAATGAAAAAAACTATAAAAGGGAATATTTGGTTGTTATTACTTAGATATGATTATGAGCAATAAATCCTGCTCAAAACATTATCCAGTAAATAATTATGTATTACTGTGTTCTAGATCTAACAAGCTCTCTAGTATGGAATTACACTCTTCCAAAGTACCCGAGTTGTACTCTTTTATGTCTGTTTCACTTTGTGAGTTTGCATCTTGATTGTGGTCATGTTCACTGCGGTTGCCGTGAGCGACGATGTTCCATTATTCACTTTGTTATCACTGATGAGTTTCACTTATTAAATAAATAATGGGTTTTGTATGAAAATCTTTGGCATGAAGTTGTCAGTAAGATTCCTCTCTGCATATTAGTAAACTGAGATTCCTTTGTCATTATTATTATTGTGTGATATGAGTTTCCAGTGAAAAAGTATTAGCTTTACAGTAGTGTAAAATATACTGCTCGTTTTCAGTTTTCAACCTAATTAACAGTAGTTGTCTTCATTCTATTCCAAAAAATGTACTGATTTTAAGTAAACAGAACTGTGGACAGCTTTTCCCAACTTTTAATCAAGCGGAAGCTAGTTCCCTTGTGTTCGAAAATCTGAATGACTTTCAGATTGTCAAAAATGAATTTTAATACTTCAGTTATCTTCAGTATGTGTAAAAGTGAATACAAATCAGCACAAGTTTGTACATTAAGCGATGAACTTTACATATTGTACAAAGTAATGTGATGCAACTCAAACAGGTTGAAGTGTTTATCTACTAGATTATAGTCTACACTTGTCATGTGATAACACACGGTCTCTTAGACCAAAGTAAATTTGATGCGATGGGGGTCATGAACTCAAGATCCATTGCTTGAAAGTCAATATAAATTTCAAGTCAGAGTTTTGAATTCTAATTGTTTCTGGTTACATCGTTACCACTTTTATAAAAAAGGTTAATAAATTACGTTCTAGGATTGACCTACCACCTTGTGATTCAGCAGTTAGTTGATTGATCCATCGGCCCTAATTTTGACATATAAGAATGCGATAACACATATGCAATCATTCAGATAGGCGTCGTGTGGATTCTAAACTGAATATTTGTAGCCTTCACGGGAAAAGTGAAGAAGATTTGTATCCTATATATATGGATAATGGCTAGTAGTCGAATGAGAAGCCTGATGAATTGTTAACTGCGTAACTTCAACTGTAGTTCATGCTTATGCATGAACTCAATTTGTGTCATAATTCGAATGAAGATTAATACTGAGGAATTTGGAGTTAAGCGAAGACACTAGAGAACCACGAAACTGGTTTCTGCCGCCACTGACAATTTTATTTCCTAAAATCTTACAAATCAAAACGTTTATGAAAAGAAAGAACCAATACCAAGTTTATTAAAAACCTAATATTAGTAACTTTACATCAAGAAGTGCGTGAATAAGTAGGATTTCAGTACATAACCTGGAGAATGAACTATTACGGTCACGAGTTTTATAGAGCCAAGTTTGAGCCTCTAAGTGGGATTTTAAGTTTCTGAAATCGCATTTTGTGACAATTATAGATCAACTTTCCAGTAAGTTGTGATACTATGCGCTAGTGTTAACAATGACATTCAAATCGAGAGCTACAACGCGAATGCTTTTTACTTTATCGCATACATAGAACAGGTTGTGGATCACTTCACCGGGGTTCACGCGATACTTATGATATTCTTTTTTTATGCCTACTGAAACTGACCACTTGTTATATTTATTTTTCTTCGCAGTCCGCGATGATAAAAAACCTGGCTAGCGTAAGAATTGAATTGTATATCAGAGGACTGTTAATGGGGGACTCGTCCCTTATGTAGCTGAGAAGATGGTCAGTAAATGATTATGAACTAGGATAACCAACACAAGTTTTTCCTTATAAATAGATGACGAACAAGTATCTATTTTGTGAACCTCAAACTTCACAAAAAGCAAACAAAATTACCACTCATAGGTATTATGTATGTCTACATGTCGGTGATATAATTGCCTTGTTCCTCATAGATTACGGAATTTGAAACTTGATTCCGTTTTCAAAACAGCATCGCACGCCAATCAAAACAAAAACTTCATTTTATTTCGAAAAAAACTTTGTTAGTAATCGCTTATCATAGAATAAGGTTTGGTGTTACCAATGTGATTTGGTATGGGCGAAAATAAAACGGTGATGTCTAGTTCAGTAAAGATTAAACTAGTTCACTGTACTGGTATTTCGCTAACAACTTGATCAAATGGAATCACTAGGGCCGGAGGGTAACCAGTTCCAAAGCCCAAGTGAATGCATATCAAATGACTACACGTCCCGCTGACTACTTGCACGCGTTTATTATAAAATGTATGACTAGCGTAGCCGATAATCAGCCAAGAGTAGTAAGCAGCTAATAGATCCGTACTAATCTGTTATGACAGTAAGGCTTTCAGAGCTGAACGTTTTGATGGTTTTTACTAAACAAAATGGTCCTAACCTTGTGGAATTCTGTCTTCATATCTCATCATTGTCATACGGATTACTTTAAAAAAAACGTTTCAGTGACTGATAATGAGATAAACTGGAGTTCAGTAAGCTAAGTGCGGTATGATGAACCCGTAGGTTTGTAGCAGCTACTCTAGGTTGGTAGTTAACAATTCAACACGAACTTCTGATTTGTTAAGCATTAAGTCATCTGTATACACGGTAGATAAGGTTTCAAGAACTTATTATTAATCATCGCCAAGGGAAATGTATCGCTTAAATGTACATAAGAATGTGTGCTTATCACAGTGAATAGAGAGTAAACATCAACTTAACTATCGTATACTATGTGATAACTCCCTTCCTGGCGTCAAATTTATTTCCTATAAGTACATTATTCTGCACAAATGAACAATAGCATTACATCTATTTAAAATGCCAACTTGGTCAAAATAAACCAGTAATTGCCGTTATTGGGAGCTGGAGTAACGCACACCGTCATTATTCAAGGATTATAATCCATAAAAGAAGTAGCTGGGAGAACAGCAATTGATTTCAAACAGGATATTGTATGAAATAACTCATGTATCTGTTTCTCTGAAGATAGAAGAAGGAACACCTGGAGGTGTTGCATAAGATATGAAAAATTCTTGAATGACCGTTGGTCAGTTCTGTTTGTCTTATTAATTCGACCAATCAAAGGACAGTGTTTAGAATTGATATCTATTTAGCATCTACTGAGCTCAACGCAGCCGTTGAATTTGTCTGTAGGTTAAAGAATCAAAATGTCATAGGATATTATTCTCACTTGTATGAGTCAAAACTTGATTCGCTGATTTTGTCGACGAAATATAAACCACATGGTCCATTTTAGTCTGTTTATTAGGGGTGAGAGTGAAAGTCATCCCCAGGATTTATAGCGTTCTGTGTGAAAATGCATGCGTTCTATATCGATAATATTTTGAAGTGAAAACTGAAATGATAAATCCTGTTTGCTGCAATTTGAAACCTCGATTAGACCACTTAGATTTGTGGGCATTGTTCTTCACAAATAACCATACTTGCTTTCCCTTTAAGAAGTGGCAATGCAGCCAATACTTTACACATGAATAGACGGCTTGAGACAGGATTCAGTGACGGA